CCTGAAGTGGGGGGTGGGGTACCTGGTGGAAGTGGCTGCCAGCACGAGTGCAGGAGTTGGAGTCAAGAGTGAGCCTCAGTCTATTATCATAGGTAAGATTGACTGATTTAAAAAAAAATCATGACATTTCAACATCCAGTATCAGATTTCCTTATGTTATCAATATTCACAAAGAATGATATTGTATCTCAGTATTAGTGGGTGATTTCAGCAGAACAACAGTGTGAATATTATCATGAAACACTAGGAATTGCCAAATGTATAATATTGTGAAAATCCTACTATTTTGATATGTGGAGTGATTTATGTGGGGGTGAAGCAGACTGAGGCTGATTTGACCCATAACTGATGGCTTGGCCTGTAGCATGTTCTCATTTCCCCAGTGTCACTCACATAATCCATCTCCAAGAGCAGAGCCTCAAGCTTGCAGTTATAATAGGTGGTGTGTTTGTGTGTCTGTTGATGTGCAAATGCATGTGTTTTCATGTGCTTACACAGTAATAAAAAGATGATCTGCTTGCTTAAAACTTTGCATGTATACACATATGTATAATGTGTGGGTTTTTATCTTTACAGGTGTGTCAAATCAAGTCAGATTTTATTTATATCAAGAGGCCTCAAGGGGCTTTGCAATCTCCTTAGCATACAACACCCTCTGTCTTTAGACCAACAACTCCCCCATAAACTTGTTAACTGGGGGAAAATGGAAGAAACTGAGAAAGGCTCCCTCCTCCAGGATGGACAGAAAAAAGAAAGAGAGAAGAGTGTGTATTTGTTCCTGTTAATGGGTGGGACCATCTGTTTGTTCTCTGAGTCTAATACTGCTCCAAGAAATAGTGTGAAGAAGACTGGTCAGGGTGAGCTGTGATTGGAGATCAATACAGACCACAATCCTCTGTGTTTTACTGGCAGCACAGTGAATTAGATCATGAGCTAAGCAAACAACCTACTCACCTGGTGGTTTGTTACAAGTTTTAGACTATTTCTTTTTCGGTCAGCACACTATATTTCAATACACATTCTCAAGCCCCTCAGTGAGTCATGGCCGAATGTCTTAACTTTCACCTTGAAGCAGTAAATCATGCACAGCAGCATGGTTATTTCCTGTTTCTCTCCAGTAACTATTCAGTCAGCATCACATTGATATTGTGTGTCTATCCCAGCTGGGGGCGGCTGTGGCTCAGGAGGTAGAGCGGGTCATTTCCTAACCGGAGGATTAGCAGTTCGATTCCTGGCTTGTCCAGTCAACATGTCGAGGTGTCCTTGAGCAAGACACTGAACCCCCAGTTGCTCCCGGTGATGTCACCGGTGTGTGAATGCGTGAGTGCTTGGGAGTGCGAATGGGTGAATGGCCAAATAATGTGTGAAAGTGCTTTGAGTGTGCTGTAAAAGCATAGAAAGGCGCTATACAAGTATAAGACCATTTATCATTTATCCCTGTGCCCTCAGGTAAGGAGTTCCGGGATGTGATCATACATGGAAACCGGAATAACAGCATCACAGAGCAGATCACTGATGTAGTGAAACAGCCTGCTTTTATTGCCGGTATCGGAGGGGCCTGCTGGGTCATCCTCATGGGCTTCAGCATCTGGCTCTACTGGAGGAGAAAGAAGAGAAAGGGCCTGAGCAACTATGCAGGTTAAAATGATCATGGTCTCATAGTCACTTACTGTATGCAAATTATCTGCTGTTGTACCTTAGCAATCATTGGAAACCTCCTCTACCAAATAATTGTATATTTCCTCTGTCAAAGCAAGACTATTTCAGTACTACATTATCAAATGAATCAGCACAGCACTGATTAAGCTTTGAAGAAGCTGCTAGCAGTGAGGTTTAGCTAAGGTGTTAAAGGTCAAATGGGAGACAGATGTCACCTTGAATTATATCCAGCGAGCTGTAGTTTTTTTTTTGTTTTTTTTTTGACAAATCTGCCCACAGTGTTGGTTAATAGCCCAGGGTGGTCGAGCCGAGCGGGCAGACTGGACTCTCTCTGCTGGTCACTGCTGCTGGAGTTCATCCAGCTCTCCTCCTACACACTGACTCTGACATCTTACAGAGTGACCCCCAGTCAATACTAGCAACCACCAAGTCCACACACACACACATACATACACTACTAAGAGTACAAGATTTAATTAGAGAGCAGAAAATGGTAATGAACTTACACTCTGGTGTTACAGTCTGTGTGTAACACAATATCATAATATTAGCTCGTTCCTTATTAACAATTAGAGATTCAAGAGAAATACATATTTATGTCCGCTTTTTTTCTTATTTTTTGCAAGTCAAAAGGAGTGTTCACAGCGGCAGCTTGTTTAATTTGCTCTTTATTTCTGTTTGTTACATGTGTTTGTGTGTTTTCTTTGGTTTGAGCCACCGTCTCTGCACCTCTGTAGCCTCTGAGCTGGCTGCTTTCCTGGCTGATGCTCTGCACACTGGGTGACAATGTGGTCTTACATTCTCTGACCCTCAGTGGCTCTCAGGTTGACCCCGTCCACAGTGTGCAGATACCCCTAAAGCACCGCTTATCTCTGCAGGCTTTTAACACACAACTTCTCTGTCTTCTTGTTTTGCAGTTCAGTCCTTCACCTTCACCCCTGCAGGTACTGTTCATTTGTCCTGTCTCCTCAACCCACCTAGATTCCATCTCCTGCCCGCTTATATATAAGCTTATATGATTGGATTATTAGACTGATGGTCATGGCTAATGCAAATCCAAACCTCGTACTGATGAAGGTGGCAGAGAAACTAATTTACAAGTCAAAGAAATCCAAATTTGTTATTGGCCATGTCCAGGGCCCTGCAAACTTAAACTCTTATCCCTGCCCAACCGACAGCCTTTAATTACACGTTGTCGTATTTGTGCGTATTTCTGTTGTGGCTATCTGTTGCTCAGTGAAGTTTCATCCTGTTTTATGTCTTTGTGTGACAGTCTTGTCATGCCAGGCAAGGCTATCCATTTTACACCTCCTCAAATAATCATATTCCTTTTTGTTTTCTTTTCAAGTCCAAATTGTGTTAAAATTTACAAATCTGTACTTTATAGGTGTTATTTATGCAAATGGATAGTGTGTTTTTTCTTTTCCGTCTGTTTAGTTTTTGTGTTCTTTGCTTGTGATGCGTTCCTTAGGTATCCTTTTCCGTCTATGTAGTTTTTGTGCTCTTTGCTTGTGATGCGTTCCTTAGGTAACGTCTTTTGCTTATTGGCCAACTACAGCCATTTTGATGGGTGTAAACAGTGTTAATTGTCAGCGTCTGTCCTATGCGGAATGAAATCAGTGGATGGAGAGAAGGGTAACCTATCAATGACACTGAGTAGTTGGGTGTAAAGAGAAAGTTAAAAAATAAAAGAAGTAAAGTGATTATGGATTTTAAAAAATTATGCTTAAAGGCGTCTGTGTGCTGTTTAGAATCTGTGCAACTGTTAACTGCAATACAGTCAGTCAAAGGTCAGCACATTTCACTTCCCTCTGTTTCCTGGATATACTGACAACCTCAACAAATAGTATTTTTTGATAAAATACACATGTTAGCTGTCTGGTCCCTGTGGATCCTCCCGCCAAATCCCAATTTACTCTGAGCCTTTCCACAGCTGTAACAACAAATTATGGAACGCATTAATATGTTAGTGAAACTTCTGGTTTTAAATTGAAAGCAGACCTCACAGGAGCCAGAGAAGAATCATGTATTTTCCACTAAAATGACTTTTGAGAGGTAAGCGCAAAACAAGGTCAATTGTAGCAGAGACTGTAGAGTTAGAGTGAGGTGATATTTAGAACATGAGTCAGGTTTCAGCTGAAGAGCCTTACTGTGCAGCTTTTCTCTGTATTGACAATTAGTTGATGCATCGAGAGCATCCTGTCCCAACCTCCTAAAGCTGTCAGTTCAGGACAGGTAAATCACTAAAGTGTTGAGGCGCACAGCCAGCAGGAGAGAGATTTGATGGAATTTTTATACGCTGATTATGTCCACCCTCACCCCCCCATAATGCTTATTAAAAGGGATTAATCTGTATTCATACTGGAGAAAGTGCTTATCTGGAAGACAGCCGTGAGAAACACAGTTATGCTGCCGTGTCACTCTTGCTAACATAAAAGTATTCCACAGCGGCCCAGACATGTGCCTGAGCACAGATAGGGACTTGAGAGGCCTTCTCAACACACAGCCTACCCTGCCTCCACCTCTTTCTCCTGTCAGTCCTCTCTTAAACCACAGAAAATTCTCTAATGTGGGTTTGTTGGTTGTGGAGCAAACAGAAATGGTTATAGCTATGAGTGAATAAAGTCTGTCTTGAGCTGTCAGAGCTATATTTTATTCAGACAGACCTGCAATGTTTGTTTTATCTGAGTAAAGCCAGTTAAGGAAATGTAGCTAATGGTAATGATGCATTAAAGTGTCCTGTTAGCAACCTCTGTAATCTGTTGTGAGAGTTTCCTCTCCCTGTCGTCTGTGTTACTACGCCATCCACAGAAAAGCCCCCTCTCTCACCCATGCCCCAGCTTGTTGTGGAATCAACCTGAAAGAAACAAAAAAGAGAAGAGGAATGTTCAGTCTCCTTCTCTCTTTAATCTCCATCTGTGGAACAAATGAGCCAAATTACTAACAGCTCTCCTCTCTCTTGAGTAAACCAGCCCTCTTTTTTCCTCATCTTTTCCCCTCACTGGTATGAGGTGATTTCCAAAGCTCTTGCTACTTCTTCTGTGTTTCCTGTGATCTACTGAAGTTCTGACATGCTTAGAACTCTTGATGCTGCTCTGTCATCATGGTCGTTGAACGGAGATGAAATGGATCCTTCACAGCCGTCTCTCACGTTGAGCCATGGAGTTTTACTAGATGCTGACAAAGAGCGGCCCTTGTTATCTATAGATCACTGTAATGGAACAGGCCACATGGCTTCTGGGGAGCCCTGCTATCTGAAGGATCAGTAACTCAGCCTCCCCACTTGCAGATAGAAAATTCAAAGTGATTAATGGGCCCTCTGCCTTTTCTAATCATTTTTTGGCTGAGATTTAATCATAAATCTGATAACAACTCGGCAGCAAAATAAGAAAGATGAAATGAGTTTTCCCTTTCATCAGGCATCTTGTCCTTGAGGAACACATGACGTCTCTACTTATGCAAAGCAAAGCAATATCCAGTCATCATTGCACCCCGTTTTTTTAATCTTCATGAAAGGCATTGGACACAGGGGGACATGTGCATCCCTTAGTAAATCCATCAAGTATCTAGTTGTGGAAGAAAACGTGACAGAAGAATCCATAGCTGTTGAAGTGCAATGGCAAACTGGACAATACTATAGAGACAATGTATTTTATCTTAATAATGGAAGTAAATCCTGGTTGTTTGCCATGTATATTAGAAAAACTTAATATCTGGCTTTGTCTTTTTTCCTCTTTCTCTCTTTTCTGACTTTAGTGACATTCCAGCGGGTTGATGGTGGTCTGATGAGCAATGGAAGGTGAGTGTCCACCAGAAACAAAATCACAACACCAAATGACTGTTTAAGTCTTCCCATCATTATTTCATTCTGTCTCCTCTAAGTGTTAACATAGGCTTTCCTCCACAGCCATGCATTAAATCTACAACAAGCTGCGAGGATCTACAGTAACACTGATAAATGACTGATAGATAGATAGATAACCAGTACCTGTTTTTGTGCAAACTGGCTTTCAAATATACATTTCTACCACATCTCTGTTCACGCATCGATAGATGTTCTCATAAATCTCCTCAGCAGAATTAACAGAAACAATTTAAGCAGAGAGCACTTTTATTTTATCATTTATCTTCCACTGCTGGCTACAGGCAACCCAGAAGCCCTTCGGAATGATAAATTTGCCTGTCACCTTGCGTGGGCAGCTGGGATCTGAGCACATGTAATAATGTAAAAATAATTACCCAGGGGAGAGGTGCGTGGAGGTACCCTGCTTGTACCCCTGTACAGCCTGCTCTATTTCATTGTGTGTTAGTGAAAGAGAGAGTGGCTAGAGAGAATTGGGTGCATCTCAGTGACACTATGGCTTTGTGGGTATTCAAGAGACTCCCCTGAGACTCTTGGCCTTTAGTCTAACTACTGGTTATCACACCTGACTAGGTAAGGCTGCCAGATAGCAAGAGATTGTCAAGTAAATCTGACTCTGTGTTTCTTAAAGATTTTGGGAAGGCGTCTGCTCTGCAGTCTGGTTTCAGAATTTTTTATTTATGCTTTTTTTCTTTTATTTTTCCCTTATTGTGTGTGTATGACTGAATGCCACAATGGATATTTTTCTATATTGTTCTGTGAGCTGCAAGCAGGTTCTCAATGAATTAGCCACGCCACTTGCCATGCATTTTCTCATCTACTTTCTGCTGTAGTGTTTTTCCTTCAATTTTCCACATAAGTGGTTCTGATTCTCACTCCCGCAAATGGGATTTGAAATGTCTGTATTTCTTGTGCTGTGTATTTGTCATACCTTTAGTCACTAGCAGCAACTGCCACAGTTTTCACGACACTGGAACAGGATGCAGTCTCGGGCTGTTATTCTACAGTAACACAAGCTTCTGATCCCTTAGTCACTCTAGTGCCATCAAATCCCAGATGTTGCAACTACCCCATCTGCCCAGAAAGTGAAAACGTGCTGCAGAGTATCAGAGGAAAATGTGTTCATTTGTTACATGAGATGTTTATTGCATTAATTAGACAATACCAAATGACGCCTCGTCTGTTTCCAGTTTCTCATTGGCTCTTGCCAAATTGCCCTGACTGAACAATTACACTTAATCGATCGCAAAATAAATGATTCATGGAAGATGAATAGGATGCAGATTGGAGGACCTGGATGATTTGACTTTGGCTGCTCAATTGAAATTGATAAAAGCTGATAAGGGCTCATTCCTTATCCCCCTGCCAATAGGGAGATGCTAATTAGGAGGTAGTAATAACTTCCTATCTCAGCACTGATCAATATTTTAGCAAAGCAGATTCACTCTTATATGCAGTGGGAATGGATTGAGCACTGCAGCAAACAGGTTTCATTAACACTGTTGCCATAGGGATTCCTTCACATCCCAGATCTGAATGTTAAATGACAGCATGTTCCCTGAGAGTGAATTTTAAAAGTGTGTGTTAACTATGGTCTAGTCCAAGTCCCAAGTTCCATTCACTAGTCCGTGAGACCATAAACACCTGATTTATGAAGTTGCTTTGGAATTAATTTCTCTCACTTGGCTTATTTATGGGAAGCTTGGTGTCAGGCATCATAGGCAATATTTATGGACTCCTACCTATCACAAGAAACTGAAACGTCGCACAGGAAGAGGGAATGATCCAAATAAAATTTTATCTGCCAAGGTTGCCATCCATCCTAGGTTGGGCATTGATTAAAATTCAGGTGTCAACTTTTCGTTAGACGTATGACCTGGTGTCCACCCCGCCACCCGTTTAACATTGCCCCACTATCTCACACATGTGCACTCTCACATACGCACACATATATAACAAATCTCCCCAGTAGAAATCAGTCATATTCTAATCATCCTTAGGAGGAATACAGCTATGTGATAAACACAAGTCCGATGCAGCTACTTCCACTGTCAGCTCCTTGTCTTTGAAATGGTCTTTGTCTAGTGGTCTGGGGGAGGACTCGCTTGAGCACACAGGACAAGCAAAACAAGCAACGAAGCAAGGGCATGGTCTTTTACTTTAGGCAGCGTACATTTATGCTGTAGTATTGCTGGAGTCAACAAAAGAGTCCAATGTCCTCTTCTTTTCAGCTACTTTTAGTCTGACAAATGCCAAGCACATAAGAGGCGAGGAGGAGGGATAAAAAGAAAGATGGGGGTGTATGAGGAGAAAATAAAGGAAAATAGAGTAAAAGAAAGATTGTATGATGAAAGAGAATGATGACAGTCGGGGAGCATGGCAGCCAGAAAAAGGGGTAGAAGGATGTGGAGAGATGTATTACCCTATAAAAGTGCATGTGTCTGATGCACAGTCATCAATTTGAATGACTTGTCTCCCCTGAGGGCCTGTTTTGGCATTCAGGAACCACAGCGAGGGCTCTTAGCTTGCCAGAGCTACAGTTCATTTGGACTTCCCTTTTGTGGAACAGCTCTTCTCATTAGAACTTGTGGATGAAGGAGAGACTGACTGGAGCACACCCATTACCCACCCTTGTCCTCAGGGCTGGACTCTTTCTCAGCCCCTTAGAGCCCACATGTCACACCACTGAAGCTGAGACAAAAAGCCCCATCAGGCAGCCGCACTGCAAGCTACCAAGGTCTGCGGCATTTCGGAGTGCACATGTGTATTTTCTTGTAAATCCTTCCTATATTGAAATAAACATTCTCAATTTTTCTTTGTATTTTAATCACTTTCACTGCCCCGCTATTAGAAACTCATGCAGTGTATACTGTAATTCATCAAATAAACGGACGCAAACAAAACCATTTAATTCCATTGCATCGCTTATTCTCATTTAAGTCCATCTGTGTTACCCCTGGTAGCAAAAGCCCCAGACGTGATTGTACAGTAAAGTGGCCCTAACAGCCTCCCAGCAGTCACCCGTAACAGGTTAAAGCTTTAATGGCTGCTTTATATGGTTCTCCCCACCTAAGGCGGGGCACAACACCTGTTAAATGGAGCTGCTCTCTCCCATATGCAGGCATCCCACAAGTGGGCCGGGGCATTATGGTGAGGCTAAGACCACAGTTTGACATCTCATCAAACAAAATCTAGACTGTCTGGACATCACCACAAGGGGTTGATGGGAAAACACAGCAGAATGTACAAGATATTGATGAACAAGGAGACATAAAGATGTCGGGATCAGCATGCACTGCTGCATGTGTGCAGAGAGCAAATGCTTGCATTAGTGTCTCCACAGTGTGTTTTTGCATTAATAACTCAGAGAATGTGACAAACACACCACAGGAGAGACAGAGATATAAAGATTTGTGTTTACCTGCAGAAATTCCTACAAGAAATGTCTCTGTACAGTATTTACCCCCATCTCAGAAATGTTTTATTAGCTTCAGAGACTTAAAGCAAACTCATCTCATGTGCACAAACTAACATTTAAGCATATGTTTGTATTTTTTTCTTTTATCTTCACACTGTCTTGCTGCGGATTGCTGTCAGGTTTTTTTATTCATAATTTCTGAATCTACTAACATAATGCAAAATTTACCTATGCATTTTACCAAATTGGGCATTTTTTTGTTACAAAAACTCTGGTACATGTGTAATTTCACAGCCTATGTGTAATCTATTGTTTCTTCCTGTGTTTCTGTTTAGCCGGCCAGGTCTGCTGAACGCCAGTGACCCAGGCTACCCCTGGTTAGCGGACTCGTGGCCCGCCACCAGCCTGCCTGCCAACAGCAGCTCTGGGGGACCAAATGACCTGAGTAACTTTGGCCGAGGAGGTGAGTGCCTTGGTGCCACCCCAAGTGCTTTGAGAAAGGCGTTGTAAGAGATGAAAGATGATGACCTGCCTTTTTTTTTGTTCTACCAGAGGTCTTGTTGTTCTTCATGTGCATACTCTATATGCATGCGAGATATATACATGAAAGCATATTGCATGTGAGTTTGGATATACTGTATATTTATATACCACATCAGAGGTCGACTAGAGCGTTAACAGCAGGGCATCTACTATCAGCAGCCTAAGTAATGGCAAATAGTTCAGCCGAGTGTCATCGCCCATACATCAGAGCAGGAGAATGTGAGTGGAGAGATGGGCAGAGGAGCAGGCGGTGGGTGGGTGTTTGAAAGGATGGTCTTGAGCAGCCAGTCGTGAAGGACAAGCGCAGCTTGACTGCCGCAGATGCGGACACTTCCGCCATGGCTCTACATCATCTCCCCTTCAATGGGCAGGCAAACCTCACTATGCAGAGTCTGCTTGCTCTTTCTCTCCCTCTTCTTCTGACATCACACACAGAGCAGCAGCATTATCCCTCATGTATATGAACAGTCCAGAGAGGAGACTGAGATATCCACACATTTGGAGAGGGACAGCTGAGAGGCTGAGGGTTGGAATATATGAATAACTAGAATGATTTTTTTTCCACTGAAGTGAACCTGTTAAGTGCTGTTCCTTAAGATGTGAGCTGACCCATAAGCACTAAGACTCACACTTTAATTCCATCACTCAAGGACTATGTGCGCTTGAATTTCATTCAAGGCCAGACACATAGTTAAATAGCCCACATCTTTATCTGCTACGAAGAAGGTTTTATTTAAATACTGCGGGGTTACAGGTGAGGTGAGTGTTTCTTTTAAAGGGCAACTTCCCCATAAACTTCCTCTCTTCCTATTTCCCAGATCTCCCCACTGGACAAGCAGATAAGACAGGCACCATGCTCTCTGATGGAGCCATCTACAGCAGCATAGACTTCACTACCAAAGCCAACTACAGCAGCCCTGGCCAGACATCCCAGGCCACCCCTTATGCTACTACTCAGATTCTCCACTCAAGCAGCATCCACGAGCTGGCTGTGGACCTGCCTGAAGCCCAGTGGAAGGCCTCACTTCAGGCCAAGCAGGAGATGGCCAACCTGGGCTACTCCCTGCCTGACAAAAACTCCTGCAATAACAGTGAGTGTGTTAGAAGTGATTTGTGAGCAGGGTTGTTGCTTAAAAGAGTCATTTTTACTTCAGCAGACACCACCATCCTGGTTAACTCTCCAAGGTTGAATAAAACCTAAAAAGTGTGGTGCAGTTAAGTCAATCCATTTTCTTGTTGGGTTTTCATGATGCTAACACTCCTCCTTCGGTTTGAGAGTCATTGCTAATCTATTTTAGCTTGACTAATATTTAAGAAAATAATCCAAATTAATTACTGTGGATTTGATGCCGGATTTTTTAAAGCCAAGTGGAGTTTCGTACTTAAGGTGTAATAAGTATTCCTCAGCCATATTCTAATACATATTTATGATCTCATTTTCCAACAGTCTAAAACAGATTAATTATAGTTTTTACATAGTGCCCCTAATGCAATCAGTCTTTAAAACTTAGTTTTCTAGTTCTTCCTGGCATCAAATACTCACATAGGATTATGTTTATGATTATATCTCTTTGAGGGGGTGAATATTGAATTAAAATCTCGACCATTAATTTCTAATTTCATAAAATGAGAAGAGTTTTGTGAAAGATTAACAGTGTTTGTCCAGCAATGTGTTGTCTGTTGCACAGAGATCAGAAAGTGAACGACATGTTCAGTCAGTAGCTTGTGGAGTATATCCTGAATATATCCTGCTTGCTTGATGCTCTAACTGCATGTTTGCATGTGCTTGTGCTAACTGCCAGTCACCTGATGCCATTGTGATTTTTACCCTTTAACCCCCACTGTAGCCCTCCTTTTCATTCCTGACTACCGATTGGCCGAAGGATTGTCTAATAGAATACCGCACAACCAATCACAAGATTTCAGCACCACCAGCTCTCGCAACAGCTCAGAGCGAAGCGGCAGTCTCTCAGGTTGGTTTACACAGCAGAGCATTGTAAAGCAAACCAGGACGCTTTCTGGGGCTGTGCCGCTTGACTTTATGAGTGACTGATGTCTTAATTGCTTCACTGATCTATTATTTGCATGTACAAACCTGACCTCTAAGCAAATTTTAGTCAACACAGTCCCTCTCCCTTGCCATGAAGCTTTGCTCACTCAGCTTCCCAACTTGTTTTTGGTTTGTTTGTGTGTTTGTTTGTGTGTTTGTTTGTTTTTTATACCAGATTCTGAGTTTAAGAGCTATTACTGTATGTAGTCATGTTGTGATATAGGATAGGAATTGACCGTTTGGTGGAGCAAAACAAAAGAAGAAACTGAGATCAGAGAGAGAACAGTACTATTATCTCCTAATAGGATATGGCTGCAGTGCTAATGCAGGGTTTCTGCCATTGTTGCTGGTCCTTGTAAAGACTTTGTCTCTCACCATGTGAGTGAGCAGACGGGAATAGGGGCAGAGGGAGTCTTTCAGACAGAGCGGGCTATATACACACATACACCATTAGAGATGCTTGGCTGGGTAAAGTGGCAAAAATACCTCCCTTTTCCCTCTTCTCCTAATGGTGGCCAACTACACTAAAACCCATGTTCAGAGAATTACAATGTCATTTATAAGACACCAAGGCAGCCCTCTGCCTTCCTCCCCATCCACTCCTTTCTTTTATCTAGATACAAGCCACTGCCTTAACTGGTCTCTAATTCAATACTCTGGCACACCGAGGGCTGGAGAGAAGGATTTGAAGTGGCCATGCCCCACAGGCAGATTCTTCCCACAACCACACAGGTTACTGAAGGCTTTGACTGGGCTACTGGGCCTGGCACATGCTGTATTTTATTTTCATGGGATGAAGGGAAGCAGATAAAAATATATATTTCTGTCTAACAGTAAACAGCACATAAATGCCGAGTATATACTTTAAAGAAATAGTTCAGCAGTTTGGGGAAATATGCTTATTAGCTTTATTTCCCAAAGATGAAAAGACACAGTATCACATCTCTCTGTTAAATCTTAAGCTACAATCAGCAGCTAGTTTGATCAGCATAAAGCCTAGAAGCAGGGAGAAACAGCTAGACTGGCTCTGTCCAGAAATAACAAAGTCTACCTACTATTACTTAACCCCTTTAAAACTGCAACCTGTGAATCGTACTCGAGCTTTTGTACAGAATAAACAAAAAAAGATATGATAATAAGCTTTAAAGGTGCAGACTTTTCATCTTTGGGCACATCCAGGATAGCCTTTCAAGTCTTTACTCTAAACTAAAGTCATGTCTCCAGGCTGAGGCTTAAAGTTAGGGTTAGCAGACAGACGTGAGATTGCTATCAATCTTCTCATCTTAGTCTTAGCAAGAACATGAGTAGTCATATTTACCAAAATGATGAACTGTTTATGTGTCGTGATTTAAGTGAAAGGAAACTATATAAATGTTCACAGTTAATGACCTTTCACCTCATCATACATACTAGCTCGTAACAAAAACAGGAATGTAAACTGTATAATGTGCAGGCACAGACTTCAGAGTTAAACAACATTGCACCTAGACTGTGAGAAGTAAATGTAAATACAATAGAGTGAAATGCCTAAAATATTAATGTATGCAACTTGAAAATGTGAATCAGCACAAGCTAAGCTTTGATTCAGACTTCAACCAAAGTAAACTCAGCATTTGAAGGGAGGAAGAGTTGAAGTTGTGGTGCCTCGCTCTCCCTCTACGGAGATGGAAGGAATAATGAACGCCAGGTCTGAAGGAGGAGAGTGGGATGAAAAGGAACAGAAATAGAGCAGCTTTCATGGCAGCATGGGTCCCCACTGGGGAGATGAAGCTGCTCATTAAAACTTAGTATAAGGCAGGAGATGTAGCTGGTGTTTTCTTCGTCTTCTGTAGCAGTTAGAGACCCTGAAGAATCCTTGTTCACCTGCTCTCACACCAGACTGTCTGTGAAACGCCAGGATCATATGAAGTTCATGGTAGTGTGTGACCTGTTGTGCATCCCACCTTATTATATAACTTGTTCTAATTAAACTTAAGATTATAGTACTTTATGTCCTTTTTGAAATTATTCCCTAACTTTGTATCTGGCTGCTTAATCTTTCTAGTGGCTCTGCTTTGTGGCTTTTCCCCTCAGCACTGACGCACCCAGTGAAAAATAAAACAAGCTCAAGGCTATGCAGCCCTACAGTTACAGGCTGGGAGCGTCCAAACCCTGGGTATAAATACCCAATGCTGAATCTATATTTAGTGTGAGTTCCCCTTTGAAGGGAAGCCTAGATTTGTCAGAGGAGATGGCTTCACTGTGTAATCCCTGTATAGCTCCTAGCCACAGCCTCTTTCTCTGTATTTTTCATATTTGGGGTGAGCTGTTGTAATTCCGGTGCCAGACCATCCTTCCCTAAAAGAGGCTCATTTACAATATTGATAGCTGGTCTTGTGTGGAGAGACTAAGGATGATTGAACAATCATGTCAGCTCACCATTTATTTGTAAAAGTCAAGTGTCGCCCAGAGGTACAATCAGGGAACCTAATTACTTTCAGACTATACTTACTGTACTCTGTGGTGCTGCCTGCCTTAGGCTTATAGTTGTTTCTTTTATTACTTCTATTCTTTATTAATTTCATTTTGACACTTCTTCTGTCTCCTCATGCCTGATATTTCCTCTCCTGCCTCAACATTTACAGTCTACCCTGCTTATCTTTGTAGCGCTTTAAAAGACTTTTAACAGCAACATTATCAGATTTTTCTGGACTTAAAATACAGAATATTATGCAGCATTTGTGATTTTTCTGCCATCTGGCTTCTGTATAAATCAATAGAAATGTACATAAGTGCTTCTTTAAGTTTATTTTGATGACAGCGATCTACTTTAACTGTGCCTGAGTCAAGTCAGTTCATTAGATTAAATTAGAGTCTGTTGATGCTACACTACACAAGATTCAATATTGGCAGCTTTTTGTGGCACTGAGAAGGATGATTACAGACCTTTGGCAGGAAATGCTAACCAACAAATGACAGTTACAAATGTTTCTACATAGTTTCTCAGCGACAGCTTTTACTGGTCTGTGCGGCTGATGACGTCAGCTTGAGGTATTTTCTGAACTGAGATGTGAGTTGTTTCCTGTTAGAGAGGCACTTCAGCCTGCCATAAATGAATCTATACTGTTTATACTGTAGGTTTGTCTCTTTACTTCCCTTTTATATGCACAAGAGAGGAAATATGAAAGCTTAACGCTCAAAATAAATAGTGCTGTAAACCTAATGGATATTGTGAGGTGAAATGAGTTGCAATGCAACTATTGTATGGGAGCAAGTGTACTGTATGCATTGACAAAGAACAGACTGTGTAATGAATTGTTAAGAGATAGTAATACTGTATGCTGACCATTGGCAGTACTGCTAAAGAGACACTTCTACATAATGACTGAATAGAAAAGATCTTTGTAAGGTCACAAAACATGTTTGCCCATGTTGTGTTGGAGCAACAGTTATTGATTCATACATGTACAATCTTCATATTACATGTACAATTACAATACACTCAATGCTTAGTGGAGTTTTTGGTCAAACGGGTGTGAATTGTCTCAACTTTCTAAATCACTGAATCTTGTATTTTCTGAAATTACCTTCCTTTCTCAACCAGTTAATGTGGAAGTACACTGAACAACGATGTACTACAGTATATAGCACTTGTTAGCTGCTTTTGGATGAGTTATATAGACCTGAAAAAAATAATCCTTTACTGTGTCAACAGCAATGAATGACTTTCTTAATAACTGATTTAGCTTTATGCCTGTTGTTTTTTTGTTTTTGTTTTTTGTCTCTGAATGTGTGTAGAGCATTTCCTGGATCCAGTGTCTTAGTTGTGAGGATATACTACTGTGTTTTTATTTGTCTTCTGTGATAGTACACTACATAACTTTGGGTCTTGGACTCTTAGCTGAACAAAGCAGCCAATTTCAAGGTTTCAGAAATTGTTATTGTTACTATGTACCGATCTTTTATAGACCAAAACAATAGCTGATTAATGGAAAAAAACAACAACAACAACCTGAAATAAGTGATAATTAGTTGCAGCCCTGTTGTTAGGGTAACATGTTCTCCCCTATTATTAAAAATCTGTAGATGTAATTGTAGTGACAGAATTGTAAAAGGATTGAGTTCTTACTGCTGTGGAAGTTGTAGTAAAATATTTTCAAATATGCCACTGAGTTAAGAAGTACTGAAAGTGACAGTAAAAATTGTTAAACAATAAGCTTTTTTTTTAATAAACTGTCAGTAGGTAAATAAAAAGACAGCTTTAAAATGTTACTGTAAATAAATTACACTTGGTTTTATTTATAGGCTTCAAAGCTAAATTTAATTCTATGAATTGACTTGAAACTATGAAAAGACTTGAGAAATACACTATATGCTGTATATGCCAACTTAAAAACAGATTTGGGCTTGAATTCAAATGTATTATAAAAACAAGGTTTCTTCCAGGGTGACCAAATCGTGCAACACCTAGTATTGACCTGGCTGGCAGATTTATAAAGATGGATGGGACAGAGGAGAATCTGGTGCTGGAGGGATATGAGTGGAAATGGATGGGGTTAGTGGCTCTCCGGTGTAATAAAAGAAATGAAAGTAGTAATAGACTCTCAGTGAATTCCATTAGGGGCATACTGACACTACACAATCCATTCATTATGATGATGCTGTGAAGTGAGATATTTCTTTGTGGAAGGTAAAGCCTGGTGTTAAAGGGGACACTGAGGAATGGGTGGATCACAAAGGTCTGCCTCACCCTCATTTACTGCCGTTCTCTCCTGTTTCTATGGAGATTTGAGGCTTTTCAGCCAATCAGTCATTGGAGGCAAGCTTTTCATCAGGCAACCTTGAGCATTTTTATGTAAGACCTGACAGGCTGGAGCCCACTGAAAATTTGTGTTTGAAATTACACCTGAAGTTCCAAGGGTATGCTGAAATTGAGACCAAATACATCCATAATCTAAGTAACACGTTCGAACTAAATTGAGTTTCTTTAGAATACACATTTGTCACCTGGCAAAAGCATGTAATGTGCAATGCTATCCCACTGCTATATTCATTTTTTATTGATTTTCTATAACAATCATGTTTTCTCTGACTCTATCAACTACACCGCCGCCTTTTGTAGGTGGAAAGGGAGGAAAGAAGAAGAAGACCAAGGCTGGCTCCAAACCCACTAAAACCAATGGGTCCAACTGGGCCAACGTACCCCTGCCCCCTCCCCCTGTTCACCCTCTGCCCGGCACTGAGATGGACCATTATCCCAGTGAGCACAATGAAGGAGGAGGGTATGTTCACTAGGGATATAAACAAATACAAGTACATAATTTGGATATGAACGGCTAATGTGCTGTTTGAGGATTTCATACAGATGTCATCACATTTTTGCTGTAATACTAAAGTTTACCTGACTGAATTTAGGCACTGTAAATGGCTGAAATATACAGTATATTTATTTTGTTTCATCTGAGCATAAACTTAAAGAGAGTAGAAATGGCAGCTAAAACTACTGACAGAAAATTAATTAATTTAGCCATATAGACTCTTTCTGACAACAGACTGTCCCTGTTTCTGCTTCAGCTTGTTCATTGCTGTTACTGTATGTATCCTCTGACTGTTTAAGGAGTAGATATCTAGTGTCTTTCTTGCTGGAATGAACAAGATGGTGCTTGCCAACCTGAGCAGCACCACACGTTGCTGTGTGTGATGACAGAGTTCAGCTCTGTTTTCTCTGCAGCTAATTACTGTACTATTGTACATCTGGGGAAAAGTGCAGGATCAATGTGTATGTAGTCTGCACAAGCAGCCAGATACACACACATCCTCACTTAACACAGGCTCTTGCGCAAAGATTTATGTACAGATGGCTGTAGACCAGGCTCTCTGCTGATCCTGTCTTCTGTTTATGGGATAACTTCATTACTGAAAACTAAAAAATAATAATAAAAATGAAAAAAAACCCAACAACATTCGTGCAGTCTCATGTTGCTAATAGTGTGTCGATGCACAGATGGTTTCAAATTAACTTGTATACTGAATTCCACAGTGGAAAAAATTGCAATTGCGTTGTTCCATAAAGAGAAAGCCAAGAGACAGATAAACTGAGATGGAGATCCGTACAACAGAGGGTTATACCCCAACTGACCCTGAAGTGCACGTAAAAAGCTTCCAGCATTCTTACCGATTTTTGGTTTGATGTGTGTAGCAGAAACGTTTAAGTGATAGTGTGTGTGTTTGTGTGTCTATTTTGGGCCCTTTAGGTACTACAGTATGTCCTCTTACTCCCCTTTCTAATCTGGGAGTCATTCGCTTTAATAGGCAATCTAGCAAATGAAGGGTCCTGTGCACTGTAAATCTGAGGGTGTTTTTAATGGCAGAAGATTAAAACAGTTATGTCCTATGGGGTGTGCACTGACAAATTTCTTTAATGAACATTTTCTTTATGGCTAGTATTATTTCAGCCTGTATAAGCACAGCTATGAGCAAGTGAAGCCTGACTACCTCTGTAATTCCTCTCAGGGCTGTCATATAACACATTCTTACAAAAGTTGGACAAGGTCACAAAGCACTATGTTAGCATATAGATCTCTCTTAAAATTTTTATATTTTTATCCTGGCTGCTATTCTCTCTCTATATTAACTTTTTATATTTGGCGATACTGACGATATCTCACACACCTGATTGGGTGTCCTGAGAGCTGAACAGATACAGCGTAGCCCAGCAGGTACAGCGTGTGTGGGACATCAGCGGATCGAGTCCGACCATCAACCTACTGTAGCTCTTTCAATCTCTCATCTATTAAAGTAAATGTTTGGATAAAATAAGTTGAAGACACTATCTTGAACTTTGAGAAATTATAATGGACATTTTGCTCTATTTTCTAACATTTTGTAGACAGTGATTAATTGAACAATTGAGGAAATAATCTGGAGAGTTATCAGTAATAAATATAATTAGATGCCACCCTGGGGTAGGGCTCACAACTGCATACACTAGAGATAAGATTAACTGAGAACATTTTTAATGTAAATGTGTCTTCCCATCTAAGGTATGAGAGTGATGGCTGGGGCCCGCCCATGCCCGTGCAAACCTATCTTCACCAGGGCATGGAGGACGAACTGGAGGAAGAGGAGGAGAGGGTCCCCACCCCACCCATCCGAGGGGTCGCCTCTTCCCCAGCTGCAGTGTCCTTTGGGCAGCAGTCCACAGCCACCCTTACCCCTTCACCTCGTGACGAGATGCAGCCCATGCTCCAGGCCCATTTGGATGAGCTCACGAGAGCGTACCAACTGGACATGGCAAAACAGACATGGTACAAACCGCAGTATTAAAGCAGCATGATGAAGTTTTAAATTGGCTCATTTTTTACCCATTTCCTGCAGTTATTGTAGTTGAGGGAAATGCAGCCAAATCTATCTGTATGTATTTATATACACATGCATACATATAGTCAATAACTTATCCTATTGTTGTCATTTTAAAATGCTTACTGTGTATTACTGCCAGGATTTATTTTGGTCCTGCAGTATTCCTCATGTCAACTGTGTGTGCAGTGGAGATAAACCCATTAATCATTCAATTTTAATGGGCCCATGTTACCACTTAGGCAACCACTGTATTTTGCTCATGCTAAGAGACACATTTTTTACCCATGGTTGTTTACTCCCCCCACACCCCTACAGCACATTCCATTGTTGTTGCGCTCATGCAAGTCGGATGAAGGCCATGCTTCATTCTGTCTGCAACGCACAGAGAATGAGAGACTGGCATTCATTCCTAATAGTCAAGATGGGAGTGGGGGGGGGGACTTGTCAGGAAGGAGATGTCATGTTACCCAGTAATGACTATGTTGGTTGGAGAGTATTTTTGACAACATCAGAGGGCCAGTAATTACAACCAATTCCCACTGCAAACCGCGTCAGAGACATTGTACTCCTCAAACAAACGCAGCTGTCAGCAGAGGAAGCTGCCGCTGAGGTGACAGCCATGTGTCGACAGGCCTGGAGAGCGTGCCTTTATAGCATCTACAGCGGCAATTAGCAAGTCATTGTGTTGGTATGCAAGCAGCACCATAGAATTAGTGGAATTGTCCAAATGTATTCACTGCTTCACATATGAAAGCTGCCTCTAAAATTCCATGAACTTCCTTATTTTTCATCATTCTATGGCAAAGAAAATACTGAATATTTCCTGTATTCTTTCTGTATCTGTATTCTCTCTGTATGACCCCTCCACCTTCCTTGATGAATACTGTATGTCTATACCTTTTCCAGGCACATGCAGGGAGGCTCTCTTCCTCCCCAGGCACCAGCTCCTCCAGTGGGCTACGTGTCGAGCACAATGGTTTCTGACCTAGAAACTGACCTGGCTGATGAGGATGAGGAGGAAGACGAAGAGGAGGAGGATGAAGGCTATGGAGCCAGGCATCCCCGCGGCATTGAGCACACACCTGGGTCTAGCATGGACAACTTGGACAGCTCTTTAACAGGTAGCTGGATTCTGAATTGGCACTAGTGCGTCTCTTCTTTATTAATGTATGTGTTCACATTGTAATTTCTTTTAATTTATCCTTATAAGGACAATTCTGGAAAATCCATTTTTTGTTCAATGCATATCTATGTACATGTATTTATACGTATTTTGTATTACTTAATAAATGTTACGCAGTTTTATTATTACCAAATGACTACTGTATGTTGTAATCATTATGTCTTGGCAAAATATATTCAAACCCCATTGTTGTTTCATGTTGTGTTACTATAACTGGATAGTTGCTTACGACATGCTATATATTGATATGTATTCATTTTTTATGTGAACATGCTTACCAAGTGACCCTCAATCAAGTTTTTAACCATTTTTGGCAAACTCTGTGGATTTATAATTATATCTTAAAAAAGAGATAAGAAAGTCTATGAATTTTAAAGAGGATAGTGAGAGGGAAACTAAGAGGAGAGAGAGGGAAGACGAGCACAGGAGAGTGACTGTGATTTAACTCGCACATAGCACTGGAGCCTGTGCCACCCATATCTTCCCAAGGAGATTTGAAATAAATTTCATGTGTTGCATATTTCATTCCATACTAGAGGCACCATTTCCATTTTTACAACTCCTTGAAACTTTTACAGCCGTCTGTCAGGGGGGACATGTGAAGGCCATGACATTGCAGCAGCAGGTCTGAGTTCTGGACTGCTGCTCTCATACTGACCAGTGGCAAAGAAAATACTGACATCTGTAAACTAGAGGGTAAAACTGGAGGGATATTCATGAAAAATGTGGGCCATTTGGCTATCATGCATGTCAGAAGTTTGGATAGAAAATGCTGGTGTAGTGTAACCCTGTGACATTGACATCAGGTCTTCCAACAAAGTAAAAAAAACTAAAATATCACAATCCATACTGGGATATTTAGAGGTAAAAAATAAACCAGAAGCAAACAGAAAATATTGTGTATCTGTAGATGGAGAAGCTGAGCCAGTTGAACGAGAAAACATGAGAATAAGAGGGTTGACGGTGCTACTTGTTGGTCTACCATGTCAGTAGCAACCCTTAAGAGTAGGTTTCCATGGGATGATGGAACAGTGGTTTTGGTAGCGCTGACACATGCTACTGCTGATGTATTTAGAGGAATATAAAGCAGCAACTGGGCCCTAATCTACTGCATCCTTGCGCTACTGTATTACTCTGAAGACAACACTATTTCTTGTTATCTCTCTGCAACTCTTCCTCGCACTCCATTGTTTGACAGCACAAACACAGTGCCAGCTCCAGGGTTACTGGGAGGAAGAGAGAGAGGATAGAGGAAACTGCTGTGATTTATCGTGGCCACCGTTTTGAGGCTATACAAACAGGGGAGGGTAGAAGTGAGATTTCTGTCGAGCCGCACTTGATAGATTTGTCATTGTTTTAATAATATGGAAATAGGTCTGTTTTCATAATGTTACACCAAAGGCCAGTAAATCAAGCATTTTCACTGCCCCAGAAAAAAAAGCCAGCCTTCTCCCCACTGGCTATTTTTCACCAGCAGACTGTCTGCACAGGCTTTCCAGTGTGTTATTCTATGCTCTGAGATAATACAACTGTAAATCCTGTTGTTGTGGTTGGTGCTGCAGAGCTGCATCTTGCTTGAGCCAGAGAGATGAAGTGAACATATAGGTATTACCTGGCTTTTTTGTGCAATCAGTATATGTTGCGTAAAGCTGAGATGTGGTAGCACTGAGGCTCTTATGGCTACAGTTAGTGGAAAGCTGGGATGTTGTAGGCGATTATCATCCCATAAAGTCTTGCCAGGTTTGTGAGGAGCAGGGTCTCGTCTCCTGACAGCAGGTATAGATGCCTGCTCGTCAGGGGGAATGATTTTCATGGTTAATGACATGCAGATTAGGGTTTCCGTCAGTATAAATCAGTTTTAGTGGCAGGGGGGATCTGGGCTGGGTTTTACTGCCCCCCAACCATCTCCCGTTTACTGGCCTTGCTCTATCAGTGCGTGGAGCATGGGAGGCATCAGTCAGTGATTTTTAGAGAACATGGTTTGGCCCATTGCTCTGGTTCAAGACATAATAAAATGACAGACTCCTAGTAGAAACCTGGTCAGTGGGTGGGGGGGGGCACGTTTCTAAGGTAAAACGAAAACTAGATAGATTTTTTAAAATCAACTTATATGTCAATGTTCACTGTTTGATTGGACTGCTATATCTCAGAATAGAAGTGCTCCAGAGGTTCAACAGTAGAAAGTGGCAGTTACTGCAACTGAAAAGTCATTCTGGGATGTGATTTGCTGAGGCAGAGGAGTTGGAAGCTTCACTGCTTTGGCTGGCACTACCTATACTACATTATCTGTTCTATTCTTTGTGGGAGGATTGGACCCAGTGGAATTGCTGTCTTTCTTTCTTAGAGAAAAACTCTTAGAAAAGAATTTCAAAGAAAATAGCAAGGCAAGATGGTGGGTGGGCTCAAAGTAGTAACTGCCTTGGATTTCAGTTAGTGCTGTAAAAATGGGTTGTGTGAGGGGGTTCTCTACCTTATGCAAGCTTATATTTTATAGAAGTGTCCATTAATCTGAGAGAATTCAACTGAAATTCTGTTGCAACTTTAGCCGGTGAAGCTGCAATTCCCTGAAGTGACTGAGCAACCTCTTCTTTCAGGCATATGGTTAAAAATGAAGAGCCTCAAATGGAGGAGGCTGGGAAAGGTGTGTTGTATTGTATTGCAAAGAATCTGAGAAACCAAAGTCTGAAGCTGGTGTGCGAGTCATGTTCATTTGAATTTCTGAATTCCATCCTGGCCAGGATCATGCCACCCTTTGTTTCATACTGACCTTTTAATAAACCCTGCTGTGAACTTTTTGTACCCATCACTCCCTCAACAGCCTTTACCCTCACACCTCTTCAGTCCTCTGTTACACCAGACTGTTCAACCACATCACTCATGTGCACTCTGTGAGGGAGGGATGGCAAGTGTGAGCAGAGCAGTTGGGTTCATGCCACTTTAGCAAAGTCTGCCAAACCAGTCCCACTGAAAGCTGTCACATTAGCCGACTGTTCCGTGTTTTTGCTTGCCAAAGTGCCATATTTTTATTGGCAGAAGGATATTTTTATATTTAAAGTGCTGGCCTAGCTTTTTATGTGAAGGAAAAGAATCAATGCATGAAGAAGTACTTAGATTAGATATATAAGCTAAAAGTCAAATGTTATATGCTCCCTTATAAAGACCATATCTTTGTGTTCAAATTATTTTAAGAAGGAAATTGATTTCATTTCTCATCTTTTCGTCATCTTTAGAGTAACATATATGAGTAGATGTGTAAAACTACAGCAGTTCTCACTGAGATTTTAAAATAATTAGCGTTTCTTAACTTTAAGTACCATTTAGAAAATAGTGGCTGTGTATTCATCACATATCACCAGGTGTTTGATCCCATGCGTTGTTTTGTGAGATGCTTCATCTGTGTAACCTGAGGCAGTTCTGTAGCTGCGTCTGCTCTGCACAGGTGCGCTCATTGTTCTTTATCATAAGAAGAGCAAAATGAGTTGACGCCAGTCCCGCTATTCCACGGTGTACATTCTGGTTTGTGTGCACCTTTGTGTATGTGTATATGCAGTATATATTTTGCATGTGTTTGGAATAGATGAAAGGGGGTAGGTCAGAACAGAATGACTACACAAAAGCACTCACCTGCAAGAACAGAAATGCCTTGCAGCAGATACAAAATCATTTAAGTGTAGTATGTTATTACGACCTAATTTTTATAGGATCACTACATACCTTCAACCATCTACATGTAGAATCACAGCACAGATGTTCAGTATGAGAGATGATACATTTATAAAGGTTATAGCCACTGCACTGGAGAGTCTGAACATGATGAGATTCAATTTGGATGTTCTGAAAAAGAAAAAAGTCACACACACGCACACGCACACACACATTTGCTAAAACCTGTGGTGTTCCACAGGGTCCATGGTGAATGGGTGGGGCTCAGCCTCCGAGGATGACCATAATTTCTCCAGCCATAGATCCAGTTTGGGCAGTTCATCTGATGGTTCCATCTTTACCCAATGCAGCTTTGCCCAGGCCTTGGTGGCTGCTGCAGACAAGGCAGGCTACCAACTGGAGGGCACTAGCCTCAGCAAGAGAGGTTGGTGTGTGGAGACCAGCTACCTATTGCTGGACTGGAACTACTAGTCATTTGTTCCTTTCTGCTCTAATTGTTCCTCCCATCATCCGTTGAATGGTGTTTCCTCCATAATGTGGCCTTGTCTTTCCTCTGTGCTGCTTGTGGATGCTGTGCCCAGGTTGTGCATGGCACCTGTTGTAATGGCTAGACTGTGGGTATCTTTAACTTTAACTCACCTCCTCTATAACTCATCTGGCTTGGATTCTGGCTTTCTCGGGTAATAACTGGATGCTACAGTATGTTATACTTGCAACCTTTCACAGGCTTCCACCAGAGAGCGTTCTCTCTTAATGAAAACCGTTTGTCTTCTCATAGGTTTTTGGATTAATGTCCTCTACCTTTCTCGATGACAACCTCAACTCCACCTTCTAGGTGTTGGCTCCTTAATATCTTTATTAAACAGTTGGCCTGTGGTTCCATATCTCTCTTGCAGGTAAGGGCTTGTCCCACAGACCCCGGCCCAGCAGTCCATTCTCAACCGATGGCAGCACAGTCGGTACACACAGCTTTGGCCACCAGAGGGCCACAAGGCCCACACGCAAACCCCGAAGCCAGGGCACAGCACCTCACAGGAGAGATGCTGGTGCAGACGGTGAGGCAGAGACTGAAAACACATTTTCAAAAGTTTATTAAGAAAGTTCTCTGCAATATAATATTGAATGGAAACATGTCTAGACATGATTAGAGTTTTTACAACACTATATTTTATACATAATGGATGCATCCATTTGATTTAGTGTGGGTTTCCCTTTACACAGACCTACCTCCTCCTCCTGAGCCGCCTCCTTGTCAGGGGCAGAGCCGTATCCAGGGGGGCCGCAGTATAAGCAGCATGGTATCCCCTACAGATAGGAAGGCTTCCTCCTTGGAGCGTCCACCTGTGTGTGGACTTCTGTCTGGGCCAGACGACATGAAGAGCTCCATTGACAGACAGACACGAACTCCTCTCGAACATCATTGCCAGGCTCAAGACAGGCTGGGTTCCATGGACCGAGCTGATGATGGGCGCAGGGGTCACAAAACAGGTAGAGTTGAGACAAGGCTGAAGTCTGTAGCCATGCAAACAACCCTATAAAGCTGTAATTATACTTCATGCTCATTAACTTGCTTACATTAGCATGGAAATTACCATGCTTAGAACTGTAATTGTTAAATGTTTATCATGCTATATTAACATGTCAAGGTTAGCATGTTATGCTGCTTGCAGTTTTACACCACTTCCACCAAAACAAGAGTTATACAGTGAGTTAGCTTACTTACAACTGTTCATTATTAAGGGGAAAAACCTCTGCTTTTGGCTGCACATTCTAGAGTGCTAGTGGGAAGTTTCCTCTTACTGGCTGAAGTATTTACTTCAATAGCAAGATAATGTATTGAATTATATCAAGAAAACAAGACGGATGCAAGAGTTTTGCTGCTGCTGTACCATAGCAGTGAGGGAATTTTCTCTAAGTTCTGCTATCGAATTTAGCTTTTATGCTGAATGGAGACTGGGCTCCCATGAACAGATTGCACTGTCTGCCAGTCGCTATGGCTTCCAGAATGCCCCCCTCAGCCTCCCCAGTGCCCCTGTAACTGTTGCCAACACCGGCCAGTTCCTAGTAAAGCAGAAGGGCCACTGCAACTGAAATGCGCTCTAATCGTTTCAGCTTCTTTTTCTCACACAAACAGCAGCCACTCTACTTCCCATCTGTGTGTGCCTGTGTGTTTGTGACCATTAGAGATCTGCATGCTGTGCGCCCTGCCCTCTCGGCACCAGGACTCTCTCAGTCAGTTGAGTCTGAGACCATGAGACAAAGACAGGTGCCACAATCAGCATTTTTACAAAAAAAAAACCCCATAGGTGAATTCCCATATGTGTCAGAGCGCTGATTGATTCACAGCAGAATCCACTGGTCGAGGCAGGCTCTCTTACAGTCATTAGTGGAGCAGTGGGGAGCGGTTTGATGAGATTTCACGCAAAGACGGAAACTGCTGAGGGTCAGTGTTATGTTGGCCTACAGCAGGGGGTGAAACAGCAGCCAGTGGTCCCTCTGTTATTGTATTTACCCCCTCATAAGGCTGGTAGCTGCAAGGCCATGTGTGAGTCCTCTCTGTGGCACACCCTGGCAGTGCCTGCTGGCAGTGCCACTCTGCAGATGTCGGGAAAGCAGAGGGTGTTTCTCTCTGTGTGTATGTGGGAGGGTGCAAAGTTTCCTTTGTCTCTGCATCAGATGTTAGATGATTTTCTCTGCAACAATCAAAGTCATGTGTTGTGTCTACTTTTCAAACTCACAGTATGCCTTTGGGGCCCTCTGTATGTATTTTCAGAGGATGGGTGCCTGCCATACAGTAAACCATCGTTCCCCTCCCCTGGTGGCCACAGCTCTTCTGGCACAGCCTCATCCAAAGGCTCAACGGGGCCGCGCAGGACCGAGGGGCCACGACAGCCACAACAGTGGACCGCCACAGAACATGCTGAATTCCTAGGGACCAATGGACAGGGACCATTCTCTGGAGAGTTATGTGAGTAATTCAGTATTTTTGATGTTTTACAGCAGTTTCTTAATATGCAGTATGGTGTTGCACATAAAATGTAAAAAATCACTTTTGTAGTCCAGCTGTTCTTGTCAAATAACAGTGTATCTAGTACTGTTGTGTATATTGTCTCAGATTATAGCACTGTTAGTTATCACCCGAGGCAGCAACGCTCTGGGAAGCCACTGCACCCGACTGCTGCTCACATCCCGTAAAACCAGTTTGTCATTTGTACATTTCTGTTTGTGTACCGATTAATCTAATGAAATACAACATGTTAACTAATGACCTCTAGAGTTGTTAATAGGAACTCAAAAGAGACCAAGGCTAGCTGTTTTCCAGTCTTTTAGCCTTTTGGCTAGCAGTTGTTTACCTTGATGTAATATCTTTGTTTAGCTGTTTGTCTATCCTTAAAATAAATATGTAATTCCTGAATTTTGACACTTTAAAAAAAAGTATTTTGTTTCTCAGAGTGATCTGCCTTGGATGCGGACTGGAGGAAACCCGTTCTGTCCATGAAAGGATGACGCGCTCCTTGTCGGAGCAACGAACTCTGTCCTCACCCATGTGTTCTCACAGGGAAGGACGCTACAGAGAAAGTGTCACAGAACTGTAAATGTGATGTATAGACACAGACATACTGTACATCTCACTATGTTTTTGTCCTCAAGAAAATATTTCCACCTCCTATCTTATTGTAATTTTCTTTTTGTTAAAAAAGGCAAGTTAAAAATAAATGAAAACATCTATATAAGAACAAATTTTCTGGTAACTGCCCTTAGGGAAAAGGGAATTTTGTTTCTGTAAATATATTCTTTAACTTGTTGTTGCATTGCTATGCAAGCCTAATTCAGTTCTTCTTATTTCTATATACAGGAACAGTCGGTTTTATTTGGTTATTTGTATTATATGTGAATTGAGTGGCTGTTGTGCCATAAAATAATTGTTTTATAGTCCATTATTTGTTAATAGTTATTGTACCATTAATTATTACCATTATTATTATTAATTATTGTTTTGCACTGCAATTTTTGGTGATAAGCACAAAAACATAGCTCCTGCTGACATGAAGAACCGGAAGAATATGTGAAGAGGAGTTTCTGTACTGTAAAGTAAAGAGAAGAAGAGTTATATACTAATGTACAGAGAGATATTAAAGAGTAGGGCTTTGCTCTCAGACAGCAACAACTAAAGCGCCCATTTCTATAGCTGAGTGTAATTGGGTGGCAGACACACAAAGCTCCCATGGGTCTGATAGGCAGATATAAGGTTGGAAGAACTGTACACAGAGGATACTGTAATGCTGTGTGTGACTCAGTTATTTCACTTTTAATTAACTGTCCTAGAGTTTGATATCAGCAACATTTAGTGCTCGGTGTTTTTGGCAGCTCTGGGGGTTGTCTGGTTTTCAGAAACTGACTGAGGTAGTGTTGTTTTTTTTTTTTTAAATACCTCCAAGCATTTCAAGTTTATTTTTTATTTTGTGATTCACTCCCTCAACAATTTTACTAGACTAAGTTTATGCTCCTCATCCAGCATAATAGCACACCAGCCATAAAACTGTCAAAAGGGAGGAGGAGTCAGTGAAATGTTCGCACGCTCGAGTTCAGTCATGGCACTTACAGTGACAGAGTTATGATTCTTCTAAAGCCTTAACAGGTAAGCAGACATCACAGACAAAGGAGTATTTATTGTAATTAGAAGCAGTTATACTCCCAAAGCTACCTAAAATATCAGGGGAGCGATGTAATTTGTTTACATCTTTTGTTTTTTTGTGTGTGTTTTAGTTCCATACATTTTTAATATTGTTTAGAGCACTTACTGTTTTATGTTTCTTATACTATCTATGGTACAGTGTGATCCAAGTAAAACCACACACAGACCTGTTCAATCCAGCTAAGTCATGTTAAATTAGGTGATCTATTAAAGCAGTTGTTGCTTTAAAGGTGGGTGCCTCAGTTACCAAATGTTCAGCGCAGTCCGGTGTCAATACGTTTGAGAGGAAACCGTGTGTGTATGATTTACAGTGTAGCTCTGAGTCACTGTTTGTTCCCAAACAGTGACATGATAATGGAGAAAGGCCTTGTATATTCACTAGCAGGTCCCACTGCCTCTGTGTCTACAGCCACAACGCGGAGCAGAACACTTCCCATCTCCCTGACCGCCACAAAACACACACTTATTGTCCGCAGCTTTCCACTTCTCAGCCTCTGATTCTCAGTATGTCTTTTGAGCCAATGTTTTTATTGGTTGTCCTTTTTTTAAAATAAAAAGCTAGTTTCTTTGTATGCCTTTTATGAACTCCGAAACGCTGCTTACAACGTTTTCAATATTAATGTTCAGGATTTTTGTGGTTCAATGACTGTTTGTTTTGTCTTTTTTGTTTGTTTGTTTGTTTGTTTTGTACTGCTAATGTTGATTTAAAAAAAAAGAGGGGGTGGAAACTAAAGGTCGTCAGATGCTGTTATAATGTCGTCGTCATGCCATCATCATTTTACATCATCCACCCAGTGGCCAGTGTTCCAGAAATGAGGTGCAAAGAGTATCTCAGGTTATTTTACATTCTGGTGGTGTTTATGTATGTGTATATATGTGTATATATCCATATGCATCTCCACTTGATTATGCCATTCCATTTTCATTGACAGAAATATCCCTCTCATGTCAGGTTCTGTTTTCTTTTCTGCTGTGTATTTTTATTATAATGTGCTGGTTCATCCACCTTAAGACGATGTCACTAAGAGAACATACCAAATTAAGATTGCTATTTCTAATGTCTAATGCATTTTAATGTCTCTTTAATACTCATTGTTTTCTTTAAAATCACAGTGTTGTTTTGTATTTATTAAAATGATAATAAAAGTATATTGTGAAATATGCATAAAGATTTGTGAGATATAAAATGTGTATTTTTGTTCCTTGTAAAGTTTGCTGACGGAGCCAAGCAGCGAGGCCATAAGGAGATGACAGGCACACTGTGCTCACGGCACGGTGAAGTGTCGGGTCAGTAGCCGTCGGAGTCACTCTTCGTCCTGCATGTTCACCACACTGTCAAAACTAAAGAAACTTAAAACCTTTTTGAACACAAGGAGCAAAGACGCTCACAATTTACTTGTCAAGTCAAGAGAGAAAATGTCTTTTTGGAAGGATGAAAGTACTTTGGCTTTCCCTCTCTTTTGTTCATTTTCTCAGTATTGTTGGTTCTTTGTAGCCTATCTGTGTGTTGCCTTTTTGCTATAAAAGAGGATTAAAACGGATAAAAAGAGAAAGTTGTTGGGTGAAGTCTTTCTGTACAGTACGGGGGTGAGGTGACACCATTTCAATGCCATTTCTACAGTACAGTACATTCAGTTTCTTTTTCCTTTATAACCACCTTCTGTATTCACTTGCATGTCCTTGTCCAGAAGAGAGTGGATCAAGAAAATAAACTTTTACAGTCTCATTCCCATGCCCTGTAAAATAAATCCATGTTTTATTTCCTTGTACCTGGATCAATATCAAATAAAATATTTTTGAAAAATGAAAAATGCCTTATGTTATTAATCTTTGATAAAAAGGCCACTCAGTAGGGGCATTGACTAGTCCAGTCTAGGTGTTAAAGAAAATTCTGCAGAAAAATACAAGAAATAAACTGCAATGTCATTATTTGCATTTAAACTGTAGCATTTCAGATTTAGTACTTTCTTACACTGAGGCTACAGTACAACAACGTGAGAAATAGCGAGCATGCCTGTTTCTCCAAAACATCTACCCACTGATATGTTGATCAAGTTTGACTCAGCAACAACGTACGTGTCTGTGTGCGTGCACGTGCAGGGATGAGATGGATGTGCTTGTGAGATAGCTCCTGACTCAGCTGCACTTTTGATGTCAAACCTTGATGCTTCCAAATGAGCAACTTCAAACACAAATCCAAATCTTCTAAGTCACCGAGACAGGCAGCTTTCAAGCTCTCTGACTCAAACTAAAAATTATTTCTGAAAGAAATGGTACAAACCTGAATATTCAAAACATGGAACAGCTACTTTTATCAGCATTACATGTAAATGTAAATTAGCATGTAAATTTTGTTCTCTGTTCTGTCATTGCTACACCTAAACATATTGTTGCGTTGAGGGTAGAGAGATACTTGGTGGGGTCCCCCTTGATGCCTGAGGGCAAAGCACCTGGTGGGATCCCCCATAAGGCCACACTGGGCGTGGCGCATGTAGTTCTGGGTTGGCAGGGGGTTTTGTGGTGCTTGGTGTGTTCTGTCTGTGTGTTGCTGTGCTGTTCCATGGTGGTTGATAAAAATAGCGGCTCCAGAGAGCGCAGAAAAAGGCAAATTCTGTCTCCAGCTCCTTCTTCCAGCTAACCTCCATCACAATATCCCACATTCTTCATGTATGAGGAATGCCCCAGTTGACATGCACACAACACACACCACCTGTGCTGATCACAAATATCTGGTAATGACCACACTTGTGGCCCACTGTGAGTCCTTGATTTCTAAGCAGGCAGTGAAATGTGTCTGCAGTTGCTATGGTGTTGATTGTCTGAGTTATTTACTGTGTGAGATGGCAGCAGTATTTTCAACTTCAAGATGAACCGTTCTCTGGAACGTTGTGCTGTCTTATCAATGCTGGGCTCATGTGAGACATGGGGTTGCCTCAGTGTGTGTTAGCACCCTGCTGGTACCTGAACCTCATTGTTTGGAAGTCTTGTATGGTCTGTGTTGGTGGATACCAGACTGCACAGCTCATGAAATTGACCAGTTTCTTCAGGAAATGCTTCTCAACTTTTTGACTGTGGAATTTGCACAAGGTGATGGAAGCTCTGCAGCTTGAGATATTTGAAATATTCAAGTTGAAATGGCCACTTTCACAAGGTCAAGAAAGGTAAACTGCACACTCAAAATGTAAAAAGTGTTGCTCCAGTGTGTATAGTCTGCATTAAAAATGTGTCTACTGTAGCTCACAGGACCTGTAGTGAAGGTGGCCTCTAGTTAGAAACCTGTTCAGCAAACCCATCTCCCTGATTTGTGATGTCAGAGCATTACACTTTTTGACCTAAAGTAGTCACATTTTACTTCAGTCCAATGAATAATTGGCGCCCAAACAACTGATGAATATATTCATGCATTGCCTCCATGTGACTCAGGATTCACTTTTGCTCAGCGTTTCCCTGTAGACCAACAAAAACACTAATGCAACAAATGAATCCATTTTGTCAATGCAACCTCACCTTGTTTTGTACTTGTCTGTCTGACTATACTGTAGCATAAGTCCCATACTGTGTTTACAGGTTATGATCACTGTGCTCTTAATGTACAATGGAGCCATGCTATTCGTTTAGAGGGATGAGTTTGCAGTAAGTTCACTAAACAAAACTCTTCTGATGTTAAGTTTCCCCATGCAGCATGTGCAATGTATATCTTACAGTAAACAATGTACATCTCCATAAACTTCCCCGAAGGGGCTTATTTAATGATCTCACCCACCCCTCCCTCAACAGATCAGTAGATCATTCCATCACCAGACAAGGCATAACGTCAATCACGCGCACCTGAGCCAATTTCTTGACGGAAGTTGTCCCATATCGGGGTTTGGCGCTCCTCACCTTGAATCAAAAAACTGTCCAAAAGTGAAACGTTGTTGTCGGGGTTTAGTGCTCCTCACCTTGAATCAAAAACTGTCCAAAAGTGAAACGTTGTTATCATACAGTATTTCAAGTAGAGACAAGTATAAAGTAGGGCTATTATTTTGCGAGCAAAGCAGGCCGGGAGATAAAATACTTTTTACGTATACGTTTTTCCTCAAACTACCGTGCGTCAAATGACTTGTTTAACTTCACCCCCTCCAATAGAGATGTCGTGGATTATACCCAGAGTTCAGCAACACACAATTTAAAGTTCAAGGTAAGACAGTTCACGCTTTTACTTCATTTTTATTACATGATAAGATAATGATAAGTGCAAGTTTGTCAGGCTCCAACACTGCTCTGCTGGTGAACGCGAGTTTGGTGGTGGTGTTTTTGTTGGGCCATTTGGTGACTAGGCTGACTAGAAATGCTTTATTTAAGTGGCTCTCGGGTCTGCAGTATGTCTTTATGTTCTTTTGTAGCTGAGAAATAGTTTGGTACGACTATGAATGCTGCTTGTATCCATGGCTGCATAGTGGCCAGACTTTTATATGGTTGATAAGTACCGAGGGCGATGGAGGCCTCAGTGTTTTAATCTGTGCTGTTCAGTCATGGTTTACAGAAAACATTATCATGACCAATTTATTGGATTAGTTGGGTTAATGCCTGTGTTGTGAAGAACCCCTGAACCATCTGTCTGCCAACATGTCATAGAAAAGTTGAAGATAAAAGTTATACTACTGCTAATCAGGTTCTGAAGGCTGAAATGTTCTGTCTCGGATCTGTTTGAATGTTTGTTTATACATAGGAAAGACAGTAGGAGAGCATTCTGACGATGGTAGCACTCAGCAAATGATCTCTGCTTATGTAAGAGGAGGTGTGTCAGCTGTTTCCTGCACCGGGTCGAGCAAAGTCACAGTATAGAATATGTATGTAACCATGTTTCTGAGTGGTTAGTGTGCGTTCGGTGTGCGTCACGGTGAAGTGATAGGAACATCAGAAATCACCCACTTTGGTTTGGTCCTATTGACATATCTGATGGAAGTTTGCTGTGGCAGCTTTCATTTACAACATGAGTTGTTTTTGTAAACGTGCATATTTTCAGTATCGTGCACTGGCAAATGTCATTGTCTGTCCCTGTAAAACGTGATGTGAGTAAGTTGGGGTCTTTTCTCTCCGTGATGATTGATCAAGATTTTAAAGGTTACCTCTACTTTTCTTACAAAGCAGCAGTATTCTTCTCAGCTCTCCTCCTCCATCCAAAAAGTAGATTATGCAAAAAGCCTTGTGCTTTATAGTCACCGTGTGCACGTTTCTTCCTTACTGTTTGTCTGAATTTTAAAAAAGTCTCCTGTTCAGCTGTGTAAAGTTTATTTGCTTTCTGTACTTTTCTCTGCACTGCTGAGATGCATCTGTCTGAAATATCTGTCATCCTGTGTGCACAGGTTAAAGCCCTGCACAGACCTTTATATAGTGGATAAGAAATCATATTTATCTGTTGAGAGCTGTTTTTCCTAATCCCATCCTAACTCCAATTTAGAAAGACTTTTATTATGCCCTTCAAGAAACTAGTATACTACAAAACTGAGACTGGAGGCAAAACATTTTTAAATTATGGAGCCATAATCCAAATAATTAAAAACAATCCCACAGTCAAAGAATAACATTGTGAGAATAAGTGATTTTCATGATATTTCTTTGAGATGGTTGGGAGACTTTTGCCTTCATATTTATGGAAAAGGTTCACTGATCGGTCCTGACCCTTTAAACAAACCCATCAGTGCAGACTAGGCAGGAACTGCTCCCATTTCACACCTCTTCCTCTGCTTGTGCCTGGGGGGCAGGACAAGTAATGACTGTTCCGCTACTGCTCTGCTCCTTGCCAACAAAGCAACTTTCCCCCCTCTACTCACACCTTTTATTTCCAACTGTTTACCAGTGTGCACTCTACCACCTCTTCCTCATTTCTCATCTCCTTCGGAACGTGTGGCAAATATGCAGTTTGCAGTGATGTACCTGTTTATCTGCGTACTCCCAGAGGCCTGGGCTTGCATACAGCTGTGTAATTGTTGCATCAGACATTGGAGATGGTCTGTGGAGAGAGAAAAAACTGTTTACCCTGGCAGAAGGAAATAAGCTTTGCTCAGCAAATACATGCTGCAGCAAGATATCAGGGTGTGAGCGCACGAGTGAGTGTGCATTTGAATGCATGTGTGTTTTGATGTCTATACCAGTGTGTTTGTGGTGCGAGAAGGGAGTGATTGTGTAGGTGCTTGCACATAGAGTATGTGTGTTGATGAAAGGAAGCGTTTAGGGCTCGTGCACCAGGATTTTCTTTTTTCCTCCTGCTTTTCTCCACCTCTTTGTCTGTGGACTGGTGACAGTGAGTGGAGGTGAGAGGGCAGCAGTACCAGTGCAACACCATTCATCACCCATGTCAAACAACTAGACCAGCTGCTGGGGACAAGCGGTGAAAATTTGCATTTAATCGTTCTCTCTCTCTCCCCCCTCCCTGTCTCAGCCTTTATCTCTCTATATATTTCCATCATACCATAGCTCTGTATTTGATAAATGACTCTAGAAGCCACATAATTTTCCACCTGTTTGGATGAAAACATTGCATTATTGACCAACACTTTCCATATATTGAGTTTTATGTCATAAAACAGACTAGTCCAGCTGGCTGCATGCAGTTCCTCTTTTATAAGACCACTCTTCTTATGCTGCTGACTCTGAGTTTGAAGATTAGTGGCTCTTAATGACAGGGTGTTACTGGGTTATGTCGACAATAGTACATTTCCAGGCAAAGGTGGACAGTCTCTGTCTTCAGTAGGGCTTTAGCTAACAATTATTTTCATAGTTTTA